CTGTCGTAGAAATTCAGACCTTTTATAGTGCAATGTGTGCAAAATTTGAAAAACTAGTTAATGTTTTATGGATTCTATGATGGGAGCCAGGGTTGAGAAGTTGGCTGCTCAGGTTTCCCCCTCCTCATCTCATGCATGCATATGAATGATAGTCTTAATTTGCTCTCTTGTGTAAGTAGGCCTACAGAATTCAAACTATAAGGTGTGATGGAGGTAGTGGTTATAAACTGACTACTAAAAGCAGCAGCAAAGTGATTTAGATTTAGATTCTTCCTTAATTTTAGCAGAAGTGGTTATCCCTGTGAGACTAAAAGGTGCTGAATGAAAGAAAGTTCCTGGTTATACGTCTTTAAGGTTTTACTTTATAAAAGGATTTTACCATGCGAACCTAATACTTATCATAGATACATTACATAATATCAATAGGTTTTGAATTGGAATATGTTCATCACTGTTATGTCTTTCAAAAAACTAAATGTTTATAAATTAATTTATTATTGACACTTAGCATAAAAAGAAAAATTAGCCAGTTAGAGTTAACAGTTATATTTCTGACTAATTTAATTTAAGTTAATTGATAAAGGAAAATTTAAAGAAAAAAGCAGAACAACCTGATGATCCCATCTCTTCATGTAAAGAGAGTCAATTGATTTCAGAGTTCTGACACCCATGTGCTTTCATTTGGTGATTTAGGTACTGAGAACAGCTTGGACACTGTCAAACATGAGTCAGTGGTTGATGGTGTTGAAAGTTCTGTTTGTGCTACTATTGAAGCAAATGCAGCCTCTGAAAGATCCTCTAATGGCTTGCAAGATGGTGAATCTTCTAACACCTATGATTTCCTGCCAGAAAAGGTAAATCTTTCCATGTCTCAGCCTACAGTTTCTCTGCTTGGATAAGATTTGTCTGATTGCCAATGTTTCACCAGTTTGATTTGTCTTGAAACTTGAAGATTATCATTGTTGTAATCAATGGTTGCCAAACTCTTTTAAGTATTAATATTCCGGTATGATTTTTAGAAAGGAAATTTCAAAATGCTGCTCTTTTGAGCTTATGTGCGAAGAAATTCATGTGGCAGTGGGCATTTTGAGATTAGTGGATGAATGAAAGTTTGATTGCAACAATTTATGTTATTTTTATTGATAAAAAATTGTTGTGTTCTGGATGACTGTTGCTTATTTGGCTGTTCATTGGGTTTGATATCATAGTGTTTTTAAGGTTTTGGTCCTTCTACCTCTCCAGGTCAATGAACCTTGCTGCCTGGAGTGTCTTTGCAGCAGGACTCCTATCTTCTTTGGTGGAAGATACCTGAAGGTATTCAGTTGTTCTTCTATAAGATTTACATGCCATGACCTCCTCATGCTTGTTTCTAGCACTATGCATGTGAATTTGAATGTGAATAAGGAATGTTATTCTCACAATTGTACATCTCATATATACAAAATCACAGTATAGTATGTTTAGAACTGTATTTAACATGCAAAGAAGATTTCTTATGCCAAATTTGAACTTAGAGTATGCAGACACATAATGCTCCTGGTGTTGCAATTCTATTTTCTCTTTCTTTAGATCTACTTTTGTTCTTTGGTATTGCAGTACTCAAGAAATGTGAGTCAAACACGCTGGATCATTGATGAGGAAAGAATGGGAGAAGCATCTATTGAGGTATATCTACTACTACTGATGGTCAATATCATGTTAAATGAGGTTGATAAGCTAACTTTTTAAGCACTTATTCCGCAGGAGATAATAGGTGGTAGCATTCTTCCTATGTGTCAGGGTGACAATTACAAGTTCCATGCAGCTGGTAGAGAAGATATAGATGTACTGAAGTTCTACTTTACTAATGTTTGTTTGAAATCAGTAAATTTTGTTCTGATCAAGGGAATTACTCTTCCAGGTTCGAATGTTAGGTTCAGGTAGGCCTTTCCTGGTTGAGGTACAAAATGCACGCCAAGTCCCATCTGAGTTGTTTGTGAAAGAAATTGAAGCAAAGATAAATAACTTGGAAAATAAATTAGTAAGTTCAATTCCAAGTTTGTGATGATTTTCCTTTCCCTTCTGGCTATCAGTGAGCATCATTCACTGGACAAGTTACTTTCTGATGCAGGTTAAGGTGAAAAATCTTAAAGCAGTAGGTAGTCAGGGTTGGGACCTGATGCGTGAAGGAGAAGCAGAGAAGCAGGTTATTTGTCCTTTATAATTAAATGTAGTAGTTCATCTTTTCATTGTCTCTCTGAATTGTGAATTTATTGAATAAGCTGACTTAAGACCATTGTTCTGCAGAAGCAATATGCTGCATTAGTTTGGATATCTCGCCCTCTTCAGGATGAAGACTTGCAGACTTTATCTTCTCTCAAGGAAATGGTGAGTTGTTATACAATTTTCGTTTGCCACTTTCCTATGATAGCATAGTGTGTCTATGGTATTTAACATGACTCCTGTTTTGATATTTATCATGCTTTTTGAATAACATCTTATTATTGTGGGAGGTGCCAGCCGTGTTCTGTTCAATAAAGAAAAGTATATATACAATTTTAGTCTAAGTTCAATTGCGAAAGATCCCGAGGCGGCTCTATACTGATATTCAGTCTATTTTCATGGGGTTTCCATCAAGTAGTTTTTTATATAAAAAACATTGGGTTTGCTGCTTTGGCAAGTAATTTGTTTATTAAAACTCAAATCATTTTTTGGTCGTGCTGCAGCAAATTTTGCAGAGGACCCCGATAAGAGTGCTACACCGTCGCAGTCCATTAGAACGTGAAAAGATTATACATTGGTTTGAGCCTCTTCAATCATGTAGAATTGCAATATTATAGCTCTGTAGAGGTTTACCAGTTTAGAATAATTTTAGCTTATATGTTTAATTTTAGGATGAAAATCAAGAAGATTGCTGGAAGCTCTCAGTATTTTCTTTTGCATCTGTGTACTCAGGTAATATTTTTTATATTTCTATCTGTGTACCATTATATCTAGTCACTGAATTTATGTACGCAAAGCTATTTGATGAATTAATGATTTTGGCATTTGGTTTCAATCCTTGGCACGTGTGATAGAAACAATGTTGATAACCCTGAGACTGGTAAAGAAATATCAAGTTTTGTGATAGCTGGAAATGGCTGCAAACTTGACAGTCATGCTTTTTGATGCAATCCCCATGTAACAGAATATGAGTCATTTTGTTAAAGCATAATACTAGTAGGAACTTTAGTTAAAGGGCAAAACAGATAGAAGGCCTTCGACTATTTTGTACTTTCTGTGCTAAAAACTGAAGTAAGTCTATATCTGGTGAAATAGTAATGATGATATTTGAATTGCAGGCTGGAACATATATTAAGGAATTTGTTCACGGGGATCTTGGGCGCACCACTCCAAGGTATGGATAAAATAAATTTTATCAGTTGAAAAAATGTTTGAATTATATTGTTGTTTTTTTCTCTTTTCCTTTTCGGCGTTATATTACCCATATCATTCTGTATTCTGCTTGTATGACGACTATATGAGCATCAAATTTGTTGGTGATTATAATGTTCACATCAGCAGAGAAATTCTAATTATTTGGACCTTTTTCCCTGTCTTTCAGTGTTGGATCAATTCTGGGATGCAGAGCAGAGATACTGCAACTCGATGTTACAGAAGTGAAAATGGATTGTTTCCTGACTGAATGAGGTGAACATGGGCTCCAAAATCAGTTTCGCACAGCCTTTGCATTTAACGCCTTGAAATGGTAAAAGGTTCTTATCTATTTCTTGAAGCAATCTATATACAGTAAAACCTTTCTATAGTCATAATGGTGGGACTAACTAATTTTATTACTATAAGGAGGTTATAACTTAATGGAAGTGTAGTTACAAAAATTATAGTTTTGATTTCTTATTTTTGAATTCATATTTTAGTAGTACAATATTAGGATTTCAATTTAGCGCTTCAATTGCATACTTTTGAAATGGATAGAAGACCATGTCTTGGAACCAGCAAAGATAAGTGTCATTAATGGAACTATAAATGCAGTTGATGCATGGTCAATTAATGTGAAACCACAGACAATTTCTAATGGTTTTAAGCATTGCAAAATTAGAACCCCTGATTTCGATAAATTGCAAGTTACAAATGAAATGGGTGAGGAAAATAAAAGAGTCATTGCAAAATTGAGTGATCAGATTCGACAATTTCACTACGCTAATCAAATGGATATTAATGTCTTCTTTGATCATCTAAATGAGCAACAAATCGTGTATGCTTTAACCGAAGAAGAAATCATTGCTATAATTAGACAAAAAGATAAAGGAAATAATCATAAGGATGATAGTACAGAAATACAAGAAGTTTCGTGTCATAAAGCTCTAAACATGTTTAAGAAGCTAAAAATATTTTGGTTTCAACAAGAAGGTGTCCATGTGAGCAAGTTATTATATACTAGTAAGGTAAAAGATGTGATAACAACTTTAAAATATAAATCATTGTCCGAAACAATTTTAAACAAATATTTTATTTCATCTTAAACCTTTAATGTAATATAACATATATTTTTTGGTAATATACAGATAATTATTACTATATGGAGATAATTTTCCTTTAGACAGGGAATTAGAAAAATTATAACTTATTACAATGTGGAGTTTATTTTTATTTATAATTATCCTAAATTAAGACTAGAATTTTTTATGACTATGTAGAGTTTATTCCTATATAGGGTATCATTATAGAAAGGTTTTACTGTATATAGAAAAAAGAATAATCAAGTTATCTTCTGCCCTTCCTATTTTTGCGACCTAGTTTTCTCATATTTTCCCCGAAAAGCCAATGTATCTAAACTGTATTATCTTTGCATATTACTTTAGGCAAGATTTCTTTTTAGTTGGTAGCAATTATACAGTCAGATGGCTTTTGTTTATGTTGATACCTGACATTAAGACATCTTGCTAGAATTATTGGTTTAAGCTTTAGCAAATTTCACATACAAGTTTAGCTAGGTAAGTACCATCGGCACAGATTCAATTGGCAATAAAACCCGTATTCTAATTCTGTATTTAAAAAAGGATGTTTAAAATCATGACCTGTGATCATAGTAAGTAGTAACTAGTCTAATTTGTATTCTTAGTGATCGATCATAAGGAAGAAAAAACAGAAACAAAAATTGTGATACGTGTACGATTAGATTAGACATTAGATAATTTTATTAACGGTAGGAACTCCCGTTTTCTGGCGTGGCAATAAACTCAACTACTCAATCCAAGAAGCACCTAACATCTTTGCCATGAAGCTATAACGATCAGCTGCTTCCTCGATCTGCAGTAGGAAAGTTCAAGGTAAATATTGGAAATACAACAATGAAGGAACTCAATTAGACAAGAGAATAAATGGTTGTTTACGATTTTCTGTGTGGGACGTCCTGCTCCATGTCCAGCCTTACACTCGATGCGTCCAACAATTGGGTTGGTCTGAGGGCTATTCTCCAAGCTTGTGCACAGAACATATTGCATTGTCTGAAAGCAAATTATCAGCAGGAGAGATCATCTATCGCATTGGATTAATAGAAAACCTAGACTTACATACTGCTAACAATTATCATCTTACCGCTAATAATTTCAACGTGTGCAGCGGTACTACCCGATCATCATGATCAGCAGTCAAAAGCATGGTAGGTGGGTACTGGCATTGGCAAGATTGATCAGATTCAGGGCGTGCTTCCCATGGTCTTCTAACGTTATGTAGTGGCGAGTACCTTAAGAGAAGGAAATAAACATATGAACGTTAGACATAATCCAAGCCATTTTAATGGTGATAAGAGGTAAGCTACTATCCTTATAAATGAAAAGTTTTACCAATCTTTATAAAGCTACAATATCTATAGCAGAAATATAAATTTTCAGACATGGGACTGCTTGAATTCTCACTTGATTAGCCACTGGAAGTCTTCCTCCTTCTCAGAACAACCAAATTCAGAAGTCCATGTATGGCCTACAAAGTAGCTTTTAATCAATACTTGCATGATACTAAAACAGAAAAATGCTGCACAGCAAAAGCCAAATAACTAAGACTAACCAATGGTGAACTTGTGGAACCGCAGCATGTCCATCACACCAACCAGGGGCAGAGCACAACCAAAAAGATCAGGTCTCTGCGACCAAACAAAGTTAGGTATGCAATTTATGAACTCAGTACAATAAAACCAAAAATTACAATAAAGCAAATAGTCCACCTGATTTATGCAAGCCCCGATAAGAAGCCCGCCATTGCTTCCCCCTTCAATACACAACTTTTTGGTCTGAGTATAACCAGCAGATATGAGGTACTCAGCAGCAGAAATGAAGTCATCAAAGCAAGTCTGTTTTTTAGCAAGCTTGGCGGCTTTGTGCCATTCCTTCCCATATTCTCCACCACCACGAATGTTGGCAAGGCAGAATACAACACCAAGATGCCTTGTGAGTATAGTACGAATGACACTAAAGAAGGGTGTGAGACTAACGTTAAATCCGCCATAACCAAATAACAAACATGGGTGTGATCCATCTAGAGCAATATCTTTTCTGGATACAATGAACATTGGTATCCTGGTACCATCCTTACTTGGATAAAAAACCTGGAAATGAAAACTCCCAATCAAACAGATGCAATTTGCAAGAAGGTTACATCTGCTTCAAAGGAAATGATATCTCTAATAAAGAATCAATGAAAAAAGCAGGAAAATAAGTCAACATTAACTAGAAGGAAACAAATAATGAGTGAGCATCAAAGTGTTAACAGATCAGCAACAGTCACTTACCTGATCAACATTGAAGCCTGACCGATCAAATCCAGGTACACTAATTTCACGAAATATCTTCATATTTGGAACCTCTGCTTCTAAGTTGCATTGATATATGATACCTGGGGTAAGGAAACTACTGAAATGAATAAAAACATTATTGTCATTACGCCGTGCTGATAATCCTAAGATTGTGCCGATATCTATTGGTAATTGATGTTGCATAAAACCGGTATTCAAGTCTCTTATCTGCAGAATATACTTCACATCACTCAAGTAACTCACAATCATTTGACTACCATTAGCAGCACGTGCCCATACAAGCACATCTTTCTCGGCCTCTGGGACAACATCAGACCAACTTCTTGGCTCCTTGAGATCTACACGTACTAACTTATATTTTGGAGCATCCTTATTAGTGAGAAAAGTAAACACAGTTTCATCATTCGCAATCGGTCTATACTCTGCATCAAATCCATCAATAAGCTTAACGAATGGGAGAAGGCCAGTTCTTTTCCTATAACCATCAAGGCCTTCTGGCAAAGCAGACATGTCACAGTAGTATAGTTTGTTCACTGGGTCACAAGTCTCAACTATATTCAGGAGAACATACTACAAGAAACATAAAAAAAAGAGTTAACTTGCATAAGAATTACAAGTGTAACTTGCATTTTTCATAGTAATAAATCAAAATAGACTTTTTGGGGACATAAAAGCAATGAACATTTATATTGCCGTACCTCAACCAAACGTTCATCCTTATTATGTTCTTCAAAATAATTACTCAAATTGCTACTATACATACAGAAATAAAATTTTCACCTTACAAATTCAATGCTACTTTGCATTTTGTAGAACATAGAATAAATGCATTAGTATTATCTTTATAATCTCCACCAAATTGCCATTTAAAGGTCCTTTTCAAATCAATTTCCAACAACCAGACTATGATTAATTTAGAATTCCAATAATATTGTAGTAGTATAAAAAGAGAGATTTCATACTAAGGGGATAGAATATTTGCAAGGAACACAGTGATATAAAGAAAATGCAGCGCAGACTTTATTTTTTTGTCTGAAGTTACAGTTTCTAAGGACAAACCCTTAAACCAAGAATATGAAGAAAATGGCCGCTGATCTAACACCCATTATCTATCTTAAACAGGCATTGATGTAAAATTGATCAATAGCAAATTACCTGCCCATCTTCTGTAACGCTGCCATAAAACCTGTACTTGGGGTTATCAGGATCTCTCCAGCATAAAATATCTTCCGACTGATTAGTACCCAGGAAATGATAGTAAAGCTCGTGATATAAATTAGAATCAGTCTCGGTCCCAGCATCTATATTTTCTCCCTCTCTACAGAAATCAAAATTTTAAAACAAAAATAAAAAATAAACGTAACAAACGGATTCATCTCGCCAAAACAAATTCAAAATTATTACAGGAGTTCAAAATTCACGAAATATTCAAGAAGTTTCTCTGATGAATTTACAGCTGAAACTTCAATATCAGCCTTTCTAATAATTTTCCTTCCGAATTTTTACTAATATAATAAAACAAATCAAAGCGATAAAGTTCTCCTAAGTTGTTTCAAACATCTTTGGTGATATGACACTCTTTTCCCGCTAGAAAATCTGGAGATTCTAATCTCCTCGAGGCACCTACAAGGAATTATATCCAACATCGGAAACGTTTACTTTCAAGTAAGCTCCACGCTAGCGCTCAATTTTAAATCCACAATAAAAAAAATTAAAAAATTAAAAAAAAAAATTGTATTAAAAATATGCAGATGGTGATCAGTGATCACTCACCTGGGAGCTGGGTAACGGCTGTAGAAAAATCCTTTGTTATCATGAGTCCAACTAATATATGAAAACTTAACCTGTAACAGCACAGTGCAGGAATCATGAGGCATAAATCATCATTTATTAAAAAAAAAAAAAAAAAAATGAATGTAATAAACTGACCCAAGATAAAGTATCAGACTCGTCTTTTTTATCCTCGATTCGCATTACTTGAATTTTCTGCCAATCGCTTCCACTCAAACTAAGCGCATACGCCAAGTACTTAGCATCCTCGCTAACTGAAAAAGTGGACAATGAAACTGTTCCATCCTCACTGAGGCTGTTTGGATCAAGTAAAACCTCTGCTTCTCCATCCAAACCATCTTGAACATAAAGCACATTTTGTGCTTGAAGTCCACTATTTTGCGTATAAAAATACCTATTTCGTCGCTTCATCGGCGCGTTGAAGCGAGGGTGATCAAGTAACTCGGTCATCTTCTCACGTAACTTCTCCCTAACTTCACATTTCTCAAGCACCGATTCTGTCAATTTCACCTGCTTTTGTACAAAGTCTTTTACTTCGTCGGCGTCAGGATCTTCAAGCCTATATCCATTATACAAAAACATCAAATTGATATTGAATGAAAGGAAACGGTCAACAGAAACAATTTCGGTCAAAGTAAATTCAAAATGTGCAATTATTAGATTACCATCGATAAGGATCAGGAATCTGGATTCCATGATAATCATCGATAACAGAGTCGTCTCTACGAGCAACCGGATACTGCAAAGGTTCGTCAATAACAGAAAGGGAACCCATGGTTTTGTTGTTGAAATGTATTATGTATGGAGTAAATTTAAAATAAACTTCAAATGAGGTTTGGTCTTGTATTTAAAGCAGCGCCAGCGCGTAAAACGGAAAAAATTACTAAAAGCCCATGGGTGTTGAGAGTATGAGGACATGCTCATAACTTAGGTTGATTACGTGGGTTTAAAATGTCGTCATTTTGTGCTATTTCATGTTTATGTCGCCATTTGCTTGTGGAATCTTGGTTACTTTCTTTTCAAGCTACCGTATCATTGGAGTAATGTAACTGTCAAGAGTTCTTTATTCCATTTTAGAATTGAATCCTTAGCTTATCCCAGCTAGTGCCACTGCCACTGCCACTGCCACACCATATCTGATAACTTTGTTTTTGTCATCTCACTGTCGTCATGCACACATCGTCATGCACACATAGCTAGTGCCACACCATATCCGATAACCTAAAGTGGGTATCTAGCTTGGAATTTGCAGCGAATATCCGGTTTACAACCTATTTTGAAACTTAGGTTGAAATAAAATATCTATAAAGAATAGGAGATTTATTGTAATTTATATATATAAAATTTAAAATAAAAAAAGTTAAATTTTTACAATAACTTAATTAAATAAATGTACAATTATATTTATTACATATAAACTACATCATATAAAAAACTTTAATATATTAATATTAAAATTTTGATTAATTAAGTGTATAATTAGAATTATGACCAATTAAAAGTGTTTTAATGTTATTAAAAGAATTATTTTCAAATAAAATAATATATTTGATTGAATAATAATATATTTACTTCAATTATCAAATTCTAAGTATATCTGTAATTAATTAATTATATATGATAAATTGATAAATATTAATATATTACTAGTTAAATGATTAGTTAATCAATTATAATATTATATTATAATTAAGTAATTACTTAATTAATTATAACGTTTTATTATAAACATTGGTACAATATTTAATTAAATGATTAGAAATTTAAATAATTATAATATTATATTAAAAATTTATAGTATGATTATTTAATTCATTATAACATTACATAATAGTATGATCACATAATTAATTATAACATTACATAATTAAATGATTGCTTAATTAGTAATGACATTTAGTAATTTATTACATTAACACAATGTTTAATTAAATAATTAGAAATTTAATTAATTATAATATTACATTATAAACATTAGCACAACACTTAGTTAAATGATTAGAAATTTAATTAATTACAATATTAAATTATAAATTTATAGTATGATTGTTTAATTAATTTAATAAATTGTTTGTATTTTGGTTTTGATTGAGGAATTTTATGTGAATTGTGATGAATTGATTAAATTCAAGTGTTGCCTAGAGATTAGAGAATTTATGAGTCACATTGGACACAAATGAATGAGTAATCAAAATTTGTTAGGTGTGTATTTGTAAACTTCTAAGGTATTTTTGTCATTTTTTAAACTGATAGGGGGTAATTAATTTTTTACAGGATACCCGGGAAATGAATCGGAACCTAAAACCTGCATTTCAGGTTCTTGTTCCTTAAATTTAAGAACTTGTACTGTATGGTTCCGATTCTGATTCCTTTTTTGGGAACCTGCATTGTGGGGTTTCGATTCTGATTCTCCTGAAAAACGCAAGGTACCTAAAACCGTTCACCCCTACTCATAGCATATGATATCAGAGTTGCAAACATAGTAAATGAAGGTACGAATGCAGGCATCAGAATAATTTATTCAAAGTAACAAGGGGAAGAATAGTGCTAGGTAATAATAAAAATTATGGCTCCATTTGGTTCATTATTCTGATAGTTTTTAGAATAATCTTTTGAAAAAAGTTAAATTGGGCGGGTATTATAATGTAGGATTTGGAAATTAATAAAAATATCTCCTATGTTTGTTTATTTACTAAATACCCCTATAATAAAATATTAAAAGTTAACAAAAACACCCCCAACCCACCTATTAAATACGGACAGTCGGCCACCACCGCCGGAGGGTGGTCGGAGTATTTTAGCAATTTCTAAAAAAAAAAATTTGGAGATGTTTAGTTAAATTAACAAATTTAGGAAGTTTAAAAGAAATTGAAAAATATAGAATAATATTTTGGAAATAATGACATTTTACTGTTTAACTTTTTTTAGAATATTAATAATAGTTTTCCCAAAACTAAACTAAACGAAGCGTACAAGTTTTCCAATAGTTTTTAACAATTTTTAATGGACGAAACGTTGACAATTTAATCCGTAAACTATCTTAAACGTAATCAATGCACATCAATGTGTATATTCCATACATATGGTGTAACCATTTGACTTGTGGCCAAATGGCAAAACTTCAATTATATGAGTAAATTACTCAAAGGTTTTGTATTCGAGTCTTACAAAATAATCACCTACCATATTAAAGATTAGTTAAGACACATTAAAACTACCCAAACACCCCAATCATCAAAAAATAAAAAATAAAAAATTTATCATGGGGTAAATCAGAAAACTTGTTTAACCAAGGGAGTAATGGCACGGGTTCAAATTTCAGGTCAAACTTGTCTTCTCATGCTTCAATGAATAAATAGGAAGTTTTAAAATTGTGTCGACATGTGATGACTACTCTATTTGTATACTCAACAATAAATAAGAATATAGAGAAAAATAAATAAATAAAAAGTTGTTGATTCGTCCAATTTAGACATTTAATTATTTACTAAACAATAACAACTTCGTTTTGCGTGGCAACAACATCAGCTACTCAATCCAAGAAGCACCTAACATCTTTGCCATGAAGCCGTATCGATCCGCTGCTTCATCGATCTGCAGTAGGAAAGTCAAGGTAAATACTTGAAACAAAATATATATATAGGACTCAAATCTCAAGTAATCATAAAAGAAATGGTTACAATTTTCTGTGTTGGACGTCCTGCTCCATGTCCAGCTTTACACTCGATGCGACCAATAATTGGGTTGGTCTGAGGGCTATTCTCCAAGCTCGTGCACAGAACATATTGCATTGTCTGTTGGAAAAAAAAAATGGGAAGCATGAGAGAGGACTAGACACGGTGATGTCCAAATTCACAATGGCTACACAGGGTAACTATTGTGGTGACAAGGATCTTAGTTTGATTTTTAATGACATCCAAAAAAGGCACTTGTCTCCTCACAGTGTTAACAGAAATGTGAAATGTTGAAAGGTATGTGACATTCGACAGATAGTGCATAGAGGAGTTGCACACTCACAAAAATGCTAAAAAGTTGTTGACAATTTCTTTTGCAGTACAGAAATCAAAGCAAATAAAATATGACAAATAAAACAAACATAATATTAATGATCAAGGACTCACCGCCAAATATTTCAATGTGTGCAGTGGCACTACTCGGTCATCATGATCGGCAGTCAACAGCATGGTAGGTGGGTATTGGCAAAGTTGATCCGGGTGCTGTTCCCATGGTCTTCTGACATTATGTAATGGCGAATACCTTGAGAAAAGGAAATACACATACTAAAATTAGACTCCCAATCTAAACATCTAATGGTCCTCTAGTTTGAGAAGACACTCATTCGGTAGAGAATCTAATATCTAATACTTCTCTAGTGCAAGAAGGCACTCATTCGGTAGAGAATGAAATAAAAGGTGACGGGAAATGTTATTAACTTGAAAAATTGTTATAAATAAAATCTTAAGTATACTTTCAGAAAGCTTTCCGTGCCTAGGTAGATCAAAGAAATTAATATTCACCAACAGATAGTACAGTTGTACTGTCATTCAAAATGTATGTCAGACACTAGTTACTTCTAGAGGCCTGATATAATGAGGATAAGAGCTAAGCTGCAATGCTTAGATTTTGGTTAAATATTTTTTAACATACAATTCATCTAAAACACATAAATCTGAACTATGATCAAATTGATACTTTGTGATCAATAGCAACATTAAATCATGTTTTTAGCATCTGCTACTCACTTGATTAGCCATTGGAACTCTTCCTCCTTTTCCGAACAACCAAATTCGGAAGTCCATGCATGACCTACAAAGCAAGTCTTCATCAATAAATATGATGCTAAAATAAAAAATGTTGCATAGCAGAAGCCAAATAATTAAACTAACCTATGGTAAATTTGTGAAACCGCAGCATGTCCATCACACCAACAAGGGGCAGAGCACAACCAAAAAGATCAGGTCTCTGCAATTAACAAGGTTAGCTATGCAATTTATGAATTCAGTTTGACAAAGACAAAAGATACAAGCATAATTTACAACCAAACAACTAAAAAGTTTACCTGATTTATACAAGCCCCAATAAGAAGCCCCCCATTGCTTCCCCCTTCAATACACAACTTTTTGGGCTGTGTATAACCAGCAGATATGAGGTACTCAGCAGCAGAAATGAAGTCATCAAAGCAATTCTGTTTTTTTGCAAGCTGGGCAGCTTTGTGCCATTCTTCCCCATATTCTCCACCACCACGAATGTTGGCAAGGCAGAATACAACACCAAGATGTCTTGTGAGCACAGTACGACCGACACTAAATGAGGGTGTGAGACTAATGTTAAATCCACCATATCCATATAACAAACATGGGTGTGATCCATCTAAAGTAATATTTTTTCTGGATACAATGAACATTGGTATCTTGGTACCATCCTTACTTGGATAGAAAACCTGGAAACAAAAATGCCCAATCAGACAGATGGAGTTTGGCAAGAAGGTTATAGAAGCTTAGACAACTATTTAAGGAAATGCTATCTTTTACAAAGGTCCATAACAAAAGCAAAAAAAGTGGCACAAAACAAAATTATACTAAAAGCACAACAACCAAATTATAGAGTGAGGCACACTAAGAGTAAAAGATCAACAATCACCCACCTGATCAACATGGAAGTCTGAGCGATCAAATCCATGAACATTAATTTCACGAAATACCTTCAGTTTCGGAGACTCTTCAGCTAAGTTACATTGATATATGATGCCAGGAGTGAGGAAGCCACTAAAATGAATGAAAATCATACTGTCTTCACGACGTGCAGATATGTCATAAACTGTGCCAATATCAATTGGTAATGGATGCAGGAAGGAACCAGTTTTCAAGTCCCTTATCTGCAGAACATACTTCACATCACTTAAGTAACTCACAATTATTTGATTTCCATTAGCAGCACAAGCCGATGAAAGCACATCTTTCTCAGCTTCTGGGACAACATCAGACCAAGTACCTGGTTCCTTGAGATCAACTCTAACTAATTTGTATTTTGGAGCATCTTTATTTGTGAGAAAAGTAAACACACTTTCGTCATTTGCAAATGCTGTATACTCTGCATCAAACCCATCAATAAGCTTAACAAATGGGAGAAGGCCAGATGTTTTCTTGTAACCCTCAAGGCCTCCCGGCAGAGTAGACAAGTCACAGTAATATAGCTTGTTGACTGGGTCACAACTCTCAGTTATATACAGGAGAAGATACTACCAAAAAAAGAACATAAAATTAGAGTCAACTTGCAAGAATTCCATACAAAACTTTCAATTTCCATAAAAACCAATCTATTTAGACCTTTTTCAGACATGCAAACAATAAACTTTCATAGACCTTCCTACAGAAAAGAAACCTCATTACTCACAATAAAGAAATAAATTTTATACAGGCAACGGATCAACTTGCACCTTAAAAAGTCAACACTACTGCATATTTTCAAGAACATAGACATCATTACAATATCCAATAATCAAGATATTATTAATGAAGCATTGCAATGTTTTCGTAAGAGTGAGAATCCGTACGGATAGAATTGCCGCAAGGAACACAATCATACAGTGAAACAGATAGCTCAGACCTTACCTTTCAGTTTGAATTTACAGATTTCAAGGACAATCCTTAAGCCATGGGTAGAAAAGAGAAGGAAAAAAAGAAAAAAGAACGTAATCCAAAACACCATTATCTATCCAAACTAGATCTTGAGGTTAAATTAATTAAAAGATGATTACCTTCCCATCTTCCGTAACATTGCCTGAAAATGTATACTTGGGGTTTTCAGGATCTCTCCAGCATAAAATATCTTCTGATTGTTCAGTTCCCAAGAAATGATAGTAAAGCTCATGATAAAGGTTAGCATCAGTCTCGGTCCCAGCATCTACTTCTCCCTCTCTACAGAATAAAATTACCATTACATAATTAGATCTTCAAATAAAAAGATAAACGTAAGAAATTTGATTCATGAATTTACAGACAAATGGCACATATTAGCTTTTCTAATGATTTAAAACTTTCCCAAAATTTTCCTTCCGAACTATTATGATTATAATAAAACAAATCAAAATCAACTAAGTTTCCGTAAGTTGTTTCAAAGTATACAGCGCAAGAGATGGATCAAATGACATCCCACATGTTTCCTCAGTACTCAGTAAGTTTCGAGACAGTAGTCCCCAATTTTGGGTTCAAATAAACTGATAAAAGTACGTCGTATAAAATAAGTAGATGTTAACCACTTACTTGGGAGCCGGGTAGCGGGAGTAGAAAAAACCTTTGCTATCATGAGTCCAGTTAATACCTGAAAACTTAACCTGTAACAACAAAGCAATACAATTCATAAGCCATAAATCAATTAATTCTCAATTTAGAAAATCTAAAAAACATGAATGCAACGAACTGACCCAAGACAAAGTATCAGGCTCTTCATTTTGATCCTCAATTCGCATTACTTTGATACTGGTCCAATCACTGCCACTCGAACTAAGCGAGTATGCCAAATATTTAGCATCCTCACTAACCCCAATCTGGGACAATGCAATCGTTCCATCCTCACTAAGCGTATTTGGATCAAGCAAAACCTTTGGTTCTCCATCTAAACTATCCTGAACATAAAGCACATTTTGCGCTTGAAGTCCACTATTATGGGAATAAAAATACTTATTCGCTCGCTTAGCCGGTGCGTCGTAGCGTGGGTGATCAAGTAACTTCGACATCTTCTCGTGAAACTTTCCCCTTAATTCACATTTCTCAAGCACCGAGTCCGTCAACTTCACCTGCTTTTGTACAAAATCTTTTACTTCTTCGGCATCTGGATCTTCAAGCCTATCCATAACAAAACAACAAAGTAAAATTGAATAAGAAGAAATGGCCAACAAAAACAATTTCGCTCAAATTAGATTCATTCGCAGGTTGAATTTTTGCAGTTAATTACCATCGATAAGGATCAGCAATCTTAACTCCATGGTAATCATCGACCACAGACTCATCTCTACGAACAGGCGGATACTGCAAGCGTTCGCCAATGGCAGAAAGTGAGCCCATAATTGCACGACTTGATGACAATAATTTAAAATTAGGTTTGGGCTTGCTGCGTTCAAGAGGCAAATATAAAGGGCTTAATGCTGCGTGTGCCTGAAGGAAGCGGCAGTGGTTAAATCGTGGTAGAAAAGTACTAAAACACCACGTGTGGCGAGAGTATAAGTACATGGTCACGCCGTTTCTTCGACGATTGGATTGGGCTTGTTCTTCGGTTGAGCTTGTGGGTTGTGGCCTTCAGATGTCGTCATTTGTGTCGCCATGCTTTTTGGAATTGCAACATGTATCTTTCTAACTGCGTCATCATTTGAATATATGCACCACCAAAATTTAACTAATGTAATTTTCAAAGATTCTCTAATTAATTTGTCCCAATTGTTACGCTCTCCGCTTGGGCCATGTGGGCTGGCAAGATCACCACTTAACTTTAGAGTAAACGACTTTCCCCACCCGAAAAATGGTTTAATGCCACTTGCCACCCTCATACTTTTAAATTACTATTTTAATATCCAAATAATACAATTCGTTAACAGTTTATTTAAAACACTGATATTCATTGTGAAGACGAAAAAAACCCTTTACTCTTCCTTCTCTTCCCATCTTAATCTCCATTGTGGTTGTTGGCAATTGTCGTTGGCCTTTTGTCTATTTTCCAACTGCCCGTGCTCTAACGTGTATTTGGATGGTTGGAGTTATTTCACAGACACTTGGCAATCACCTAGCTTAAAAAGGTGGAATAACCCTATGAGAAAGTGAAAACGGTTGAGAAAACTCTCAACAAAACACCAAACACCTCTAACACTCCAAAGAAATCACCAATTTCACCAAAACTACTCCCAAAAATAAAAAATAAAAAAAAAAACATTTGCAACCCAAACATAAAAAGAACGAAAAGAAACCCTAGGGTTGGCTGACGGCAAACAGTGAGTGAGTGTGGTTCGGCTTATTAGGGTTTTGTAGTAGAGAGGCTGGTGAGTCTTTTGGCGATGATAGATTTGACTTTGGTGGTCGAAGTTGGCTAGAATTAGGTTTGGAAGTGGCGATTAAGGGAAGGAAAAAAAGCAAAAACCGATGAAAAAATGAGATATGGAGGGGAAAAGAGGTGTGGTTTTATAGATGAGGTTCTGAAGAGTCTATAGGTAGTCTTGAAAGTGATTTTGGATACCGGAATCGGATGGGAAAAGGCAAAAATCGCCGGCTATGATGTTGCTAATTTGCGCTGCTCTTTCTTAGTCTCTTTTCAAGCCAGATTTTGATTGATTCCGCTCTTTTGACCATCATGTCCTTATTTATAACAGACTTTTGATCATTCTATCCTTCTTCATAATGAAATTTATCGACGGAATTGTGCTTTGGGTATTAAAGTGGTATTTAAAAAGTCTAAAGGTAGAAAAATGTCATTAAGTCATTTTTCAAGTGGGAAAAGGTCGTTTGCTCTTAACTTTAAGCAACTCTCACACCAGCCATACTCGAATTCCAAGACCCAAATTTTACCAAGTAAAAAAATTTCAAAATACAACTTTACTACTCACAACACAAATTCATTAGTAAATTTTGTTGTAAAAAAGGCCAGGATGGTTAAAAGTAAAGGCAGGATGGTCAAAAGTAGAGCTGGACATTTGGGACCGGGCCCAAAAGCCCAGCTCAAAAAACCGTTCCTAGGACCAGTCCTTGGCAGGACCGGTCCTTTTGGGACCAGGCCTAAGGAGGAGGGCCCGGGCCCTCCACTGGGCCCTCCTCCAAGGCCCGGGCCTGGGCCCAAATTTTTTTTACCTTTTATCATTTTAGTCCTTTGTAAAATTATATTAAACCCCCTAAAATAAGTATAAATTATAAGGACTAACATGAAATTTTACTAAATTTATTAAAAAAAAAAAAAAAACGGTTATAAAAATTTTTATAACCATTGGCTACCAACGGTCAACTGACACCAACGGTTATATTTATATAATTATAAGTTTTTTTTTTCATTTTCGCCCCCACAACTACACTATAAATAACCCTAAAACCTTTAATTTTTTTTACACCAATCAATCTCTCATTCTTTCATTCTCTCAATCTCTCTACTCTAAATCTCCAATCAATTTCTCATTCAATTTATATTTATAATTTATTTATATTTTCAATTTTTTTCCTATTTTTCAATATCATCATAATTTCATATTATTATTTAATTTCTTTTCATCTTAATTATTTATTATTTTATCATAAATTTATATGTCTTCCCCAAATGAGTTTTACGTTCCATCCATGAAAAAAATTGAAGTCTTCAATCCATTTTCACCATTTCCTCCAGAGATGCAGCTGTAATTCCACAACCATATTCGGTCGAGACGAGGTGTAGTCAAACACATGTGAGCTGCGAGTCAACGGGCACGGACATAGCCCAACCCCCCGACCATCAAAGAGGTCGTGTCCGATGTCTGGCGATACTTTACCAAATCAAAACGGCCAAAGACAAATGGGAGGGGGAAAATCGTGTGGGATATGTAATTTATGTGGAACCATTATTGGGGCTGAGAAGGGACTTCGCGATGCGACGACACGTAGAGAAGAAGCATCCCCAAATAAATGCATCTTCAAGCGGATTAGGTAGACAAATTCAAATTCAATTTAATTTAATCCACAATCCTCAACTCTCTCAACATGGCAATACAATACACTGTTGCACGAGAGGAAATAGTAAGATATATAGTTGCTACGGACTCTCCCATTTGTTTATCTGAAAATTCTTTTTTGTTAATATGGTTAAAACTGCATTTTGTCCAACATATACCCCTGTCAGTAGAACTACGAGTAGAATGATATACTATAAACTTTATAACAAATAAATAATAAACTTAAAAACGAATTTCAAAATTTTAGGAATATATCTATTGCACTTACATCAGACATATGGGCTTTTAGATCAAAAACCAATTTTTTAACTGTTACAGTACATTTCTTAGATCATAATTGGGGTTTACAATAAAAATTGATAGGTTTTAAACCATTATATGAAAAACATAGTGCTGAAACTATTTATTTTACATTCTTGAAGTTTTGCAAGAATATTTATTAACTGATAGAGTTGTAGCACTAACGCTTGATAATGCAGCTGCTAACACCGTGGCAATATCTTTATTTGAAAAGAAATTGGATCCGCTTGGTGAAGGCAAATTTTATCACCAGAGATGTGCTTGTCACATCATCAATTTGATAGTTAAAGTAGGTTTAGATGCTATACATTCAAAGATGGAGAGGGTGTATAGAGCTATCGGATTTATCGTCAGCGATAGCAATAAAAGATGGTAGGAGTACGTTAAATATTGTAAGCAAGAGGACCCACCGGTTCGACCTTTTAAGTTATGTACAGACATGCCTATCCGTTAGAACTTTACCTACTTGATGTTGGAAAAAGCTTTGCCAACCGCGAAACAAATTACAGATTTCGTCAACCAGAAGAACTATCCAGAGGAAGTTGTCAACTATAATGATTGGGCGGTTTGTAAACTTTGTTATTCATTTCTTAAAATTTTTTATGATTGTGGCAACCCCGGATTCGGCACACAGCCCCGGCGGCCCCACTCACTAGGAACTGTCCCCCCCCTTAAGGGATTTATTCTCGCCTCCCCCACCACTCGAACCCAAGACCAAGGGGCTAAAGTCATTTGGGAAGCATGGTGAGTACACATCAGCTAGCTAGCCTGATGGTACTCACCATGCTTCCCAAATACTTTAGCCTCTTGGTCTTGTTCGAGTGGTGGGGAGGCGAAGAAAAACCCTTAAGGAGGGGGACAGTTCCTAGTTGAGTGGGCGCCGCAGGCGGGGATGGTGCTGCCGTCGGGGTTGCCCTGTGCTCCGGAGCGTTCCCAAGCTACAAATACATTGTGTATTATATACCAACTACTAATTTAGTGTTAGATATTTAGTTCAAATTGCTAAAACTTTTGATCAATATAGATATGATAACATTTTAAGTGAAATTGTTTCAAGTATGGAGAAGAAATATAAGAGACATTGGTTAGAATTCCATTCTTATATGGATTAGGCCTTTTTCTAGATCCTAGGTTTATTATCCGTAGTTACGGTGTAATTACTGAGTTAGGTCATTATTTAGGACTGATTGTACGTCTTATTTGACTGACTTTAAGCACAAATTGACATGTTTTTTTCTTTATATGAGAACAAATACAATGGTAAAAGTGGAAGTGGAAGTGGAACGTCTAGGAGAGGCGATCGGACCTTGATGTACCCCCCCTAAAGGATCGAGCAAGTGGGCGTATGTGGGACGTGGCAGAGCTCCACTCGTACATACTAAACCAAATGAGATGACTCCTACCTACATGTGGACTTGACCTTTATGACGATGAAGGAGCAACTTGACAGGATATTCTTCAATGGTGGGACCAACAAAAAGTCAATTCCCCATTATCCCAAATGGCACGTGACATTTTATCTGTGCCGGTTTCTACAATTGCATCCGAGTCAACATTTTCACCGAGTGGTCGTGTGTTGAAGACAGAAGATGTCTTTAACCATGAGATGATTAAAGTATAACTGTTTCGGATTGGAGTCATGCAGAAAGAAGACTACAACAGCACCCTGAAGATCCCGAACTACTCGAACTCTTTGGATACAGATTTGAATAATGTAACTAGTGTTGACGATGAATGAAGATGAATAATTTATTAAAAAAATTATTAATTGTTTATTTGTGAAGCTGAATGTGTGAATGTGAATATACTTATGTTAAAATTAAATTAAATTACTATTTTTATTTTTTTAAAATTAATTAAATTTTTAGAAACATACTAATCAACCCCTAAAAAATACTAAAAACCCCCTATAAAATTTAGTTTTGCCCCCAAATATAAAAAAATGAGGGGGAAAATATGGGACCGGTCCTAGGCCCATGGGACCAGTCCTGACCAGGCCAAGGCCTGGTCCGAGTCCTGGTTTTTCTCACGGGCCTGGGACCGTCCCAGGCCCATGAGAGACCAGTTCCAAATGGGCCCAGGCCTGGGTCGCAAGGGACCAGTCCCTGCCCAACTCTAGTTCAAAAGTTTTTAGGACAGATGATCAATTAACATTTTGCATAAAAAATCAAAATTTAAAATTCTGCTTTGCTGAAAAAGAGGAAGACGAAGGAGGGCGGTGATTCATGTAGAAAACAATGATAATCAAGTATTGGGGTTGAGGGGTTTTGAAGAGAGGTCGGAGGTTGAAATGGTGGATAAGGTTAGTTGGGACAAATGGTCGAGCAAGTGGGATAGTGTTGTTTGTGAGGCCTAGGTTTTGGTTAGGGCAAATTGTCGAGCAGGTGGTGTGCACTTGGGTTTGGAAGCTGCGGGAAGTTGATGGGAAAAAACCTGAAAATTCACTTGCAAACTCAACCCATTCAACACTTCTCAATACACACAACAATCTCTCCATCTCCTGTCAAACCAACTCCAAACAACTTTTGGTGTTGCAAAATGCGAATGTCTGCGGGGCAAGTGCGTTCATGGAGCAAACAACGACTAGGGATAGCCAGGGTGTATGGGTTTTGTTGAGGAGAGGATTGGGTTCAAATAGTGGTGGTAGGGTATTTTGGTGGTAAAATCGATCCGAATCTGGTTGAAGATGGAATCACTAAAAGGATAGTGGCCATCAAGGTGATTGGAGGGTGCATCGGTGTGAGAGTGAGAGGGGTATGGTGTGGTGTGAGGAGTTTGATGGAGTGTCGGGTTATGTAATGCAGAATTGAGCTAGATCATGCCTAATCCGTGGATGGTGGTTTTGGACATGATGGCTAAGAAGAGAATAAGAAAAAATAAGAATGATATTTTTTTTGGTAATGCTAGTGCACAACTATTTGTACCAATCTATATAACATTGAAATTTGAAATTCTTCCAAAAAAATTAAATTTTCAACGTTAGTATTTGGATTAGTATAAAATGGTTAGTGCACATAGTATTATTGTTTTTTTTTCACAATGAATACTGTATTTAACAAAAATTACTAAATAAATATAACAAAAACAAAAATATTGTTTACTCACGAGTTTTACTAACGTTTTACTACCTTTGTTAAAATTATATATAGTACTCGTACTAGCTTATATACCATATACGTTATATTATAAAGGATAATAAGATGGTTAGTAGACGTGAGTAACATACCATTACTAGAATTACTTTAAAAACGTTTCGGGTGAAAAAAATATCATTAGACCATGACCAGTACGAGGGTGAGAAAAAGTCGTTTACTTAAAGCGATGTTGGGCTAAGGTACTTCCTTCTAATAGCAGACAGATTGATAGAAGGGCAGCACCATTTATATCGACAATAATGAAATCATCCAATACTGCAATACAAACCTAAACAGTATAAGTAGCATTAACATTTTGACCTAAGCTGACACGGATATTATATTACACCAAATAACGTAACTCAGCGCGTGCGTGTCCAATTCTTCACCAGAAATCTGTGCGTGCTTGTCACACTCCATATCTCCATGTGGACATTTAACCCCGCGCAATTATAAAGAAAACTTCCTGTGTCTCGGTGGTGGGGACTACTGTTACACAAAGCCAACGGCAATATTGTGCAACCCACACTCACATGAATATGAGAGAGAGTGGAGAGCAAAAACTGAGTCACTGAAAGCTTTTATACACTTTTTTTCTTTTCTTTTTCTCATCACTCTGCACTTCATTTGTTCAGTATAATCATTCATCGCCGCATAAAAAATTGTGTGAGAAGATAGTATTATTTGATCTTGATCGATGGAGAGTGTTTCGTCGGAGGACGAGTTCGATGAAATGAGTGAGCGGTTCGAGAGCTACAGTTTGAGTGCAGACGTGAGTGAATCAGAGAGTTCGAGTAGTGACTTTTCACGTCGGCATTTGGATGACAACGAAGGCGCTTCCACTTTTTTGACTTCTTTGGCTTCTTCCTCACTCGTGGAAACAGAGGATACTAATTATACCGGTACTTCAGCTCCGGTTCCGATCATGTTGCCGGTGGTAGGTTCTAGACACGTCGTCATTCCCGTGACCAAGATGCAGAAAACGGATACTGACTTATCTAGTGAGTTGTCCTTTTTGAGTTACAGGCATTTGTTATGTATTTTTTTGCTTTGGATCTTTTCCTTTCTTTATCTTTACTGTTATGATTCCTTAAGGTTCTGTTTGGTTGCTGTACAAAGGTAGAAAAAGAATTGAACATCAATGTTAACTCCCACGATTTTCTGTTATAATATTCTGTTTTTCAGTTGCTACGAAAGCGGAAAACTTAATTTGACTGGGCATATTCATTGGCTGAAACTCAGTTAATCTTTAAGCTAACCACTCCTTACCCTTGATTTTTGTGTGTGTATTACTCTTGCCAAAGAAAGTAATGTGTATCAAGTGACACAAAACGACTCGTAAAGTGAAAATTCTTTCCCACACATTCACCATTGCTTTTGTATTCCTTTTCGTGGACATTTAAAGTGTATTCTGACGGGTTCATGCTGTTGCAGAAGTTGAACTAATGAAAGAACGTTTTGCTAAACTTCTGCTTGGAGAAGATATGTCTGGAGGGGGAAAGGGAGTTTGCACAGCTCTCGCCATCTCCAATGCCATTACCAACCTTTCTGGTTAGTTATTGCTCTTCATCTTGTTAGATTTTGTTTCTTTACTTTTACGTTCAAGTTTATTCTGTTATTGCCAAAATATGTTGGAAAGGGTAGCAAATTAAGATTTTAATTTCTTTTTCCTTTTACCTGTTTAATTCCCAACAGGCAAAAATTCACTCACATTATATCTAATAAACTAATATTCCTGATTATATGGGACAAATTAAGGGGATTTAGAGTGGTCATAATTGAATATGTTAATAATGGGTTAAATATCGCAGCTTCTGTGTTTGGAGAATTGTGGAAGTTAGAGCCGCTAGCACTGCAGAAGAAGTTGATGTGGCTCCGAGAAATGGAATGGCTTTTATGTGTAAGTGACTCAATAGTGGAGCTTATTCCATCATTGCAAGAATTTCCAGGTGGTGGGACATTTGAAGTCATGGTGACGCGCCCACGCTCCGATCTTTACGTAAACCTTCCTGCCCTCAAGAAACTTGATGCCATGCTAATTAGCATTCTTGATGGGTTTACAGATTCTGAGTTTTGTTATGTCGACCGTGGGATAATTGTTGCTGGTGCCAATGGCACTGAAACATGTCCTTTGTCTTCGTCATCTGGGAGGCCTTCAATTATGCAGGAAGAAAAGTGGTGGCTCCCTTTCCCTAAGGTTCCTCCTGATGGGTTGTCTGAGAATATGAGGAAGAGATTACAGCAGTGTAGGGAGTGCACAAATCAGATACTTAAGGCTGCCATGGCAATCAATAGCAGTGTGTTGGCTGAAATGGAAATCCCAAACTCTTACTTGGAGAGCTTGCCCAAGGTATGGGGATTTTGTTATGTATGATAAATCGGAAATAGATAGTAGTAAGCAATTGATGACAATGTTAAAAATTAATGTGTTATATTCTCACTAATGCACACGTATGCTTTTGTTTAAAAATTGGATGATTGCTACTGTCAGCTGAAAAAAATTATTTGAACATATCGAATACTGTCAAAGTAGTTAATCTGCTGCTTGTCACTGTAGAAGAGACCTAAAATGAAGGATAATTTCATGGTACATTCACTCGCATAGGCTGGTCCACAAGGAGGTTTAAATAATGTCGTGGTCTTGAGAACTAGGGCCCTGGTAGGCAAGTGATGTGGAAGTTTTGTAGTGAACAAAATAGTCTTTGGCTTTGACTGCAGTTGGTTAATTATTTTGCCCATTCCAATAATTGGATTCAAATCTAACAAAAAGGGAGATTTCACATGCCCCTAGTAGATGATATGGGCTTACTGGATGCTCTGCATCAGGATGAACTTGGATGGAAACAAGATTAAACTAAAATCAATGTTGCAATAGTCACTGCTAAAGTACCTATACACTCATTGTCTTTTCTTAGAAATGTGCGCTTGTTATTGGACCTCTATGTTCTCTCTCCCATTGGTCATCTAGGTGAAATATTTCCCCATAGAATTGCAAAGAACTTTTGTCACTATATCAGCTTCTAAGTGCTTTGCAGTAGTCTGTTTTTCCTGTATCTAGAGCCTATATTTTTTGAATTGGTCATAACTTGTTTGGAAAACGTTTCTTTTTCTCCATTAGTGAATAAGTTTCTCTGTTTCATAGGCATATGCAATTTTTTATTGTGAAGTGCTTGGTTTGGTAAAAATTGATAAGTACTTGTATGAGGAGAAGAATGTAGAATGCTAATCTCTTCATATTTATTTCACCATTCATCACACAAAGTCGTGGGTTAGTTTTCTGCTCAACATTTGTTATTGAGAGGCAAAGAAAGCTTTAAATTGTTTTTTGATAAGTTACTGTCTTTTAATTGTCTAATCACTTCTGTCAGCTACTTTATTACACTATGAATTTGCTATTCATAGTGTTGCATCTTCTTATTTAGGGTGTATGCATCTTGAGGGTAAGTAAATCTGTTACCATCGACACACATTGATTTATTATGAATTTCAGCTTTCCCCCCTTTCCCAAAAATGTTATTACTCTAGCAATTTTGTTTATTTTCTTGTCTCTTCATTTCAATAATTTATTATCCTAATAAATATTTATTATGGTTTCTAAATTTGTCAGAGTGGAAAAGATTGCTTAGGTGAGATTATGTATAATTACATAACTGCTGATCAGTTTTCCCCAGAGAGTCTTCTTGGATACTTAGAGATGTCATCAGAATATACTACTTTGGAAGTAGCTAACAGAATTGAGGCTTCTGTGCATATTTGGAGACAGAAGTACCAGAAAAGGCGTTTAGTTCATGGAAAGTCTGGTAGGTGGGGTGGTAAGGTCAAAAGCTTTGTTGGTGACATAGAACGAAGTAAGCTTCTAGCACATCGGGCTGAGACCATACTACAGAACTTGAGACTAAGATTCCCTAACCTCCCACAGACTTCTTTGGATATGACCAAGATTCAATATAACAAGGTATATTCCCATCAAAACTGTTCCCACTTCCTCATTTAGCACTTACACTCTTCTTTCGACATTAAGAATCATCACATTATGCACAACTGAAACTTATTTGATTTCATATTGATCCCAGAATAGACAAGTAGTGGCACATCTGAACCAGTGAATTTTGAATGGATTAATTTATATGTTTGTAGAATTTGAAGGATGTGATCTATATGATGCCTTGGTACATTAGCTGAATAATAGGTAGATGGTCCTGGCAATTCTTGCTGGCTGAACTGTCCAGGGTCCTGATATACTGGTAGTTGAACTGACCTGGTGCCAGGCCTTGGACGTCGCTTGACTGTGCTTGCAACATTATTTTGTTAGAGGAGAGATGGCTGAGACCCAGGACTTTTATCTATTTATTCTTTACTCCAGAACTAACATGTTGTTTGTCTTTATATCTAAACTGAAGTGTTAGAAGGTTTAATCTTCATATCTGAACTGATAATTTATTTAGCTTATTTTCCTTATTATATGTTGATATATTGTGAGCCAAGGAGGGTATACCCAAAAATATATGATTCAAATAGAGCATCTATTGCTCAGATGCAGAAACTGACATTTATGCTTGTGTTTAAGCCCTCGTGTGTGTGAGAGAGAAAGAGAAACCAGTTGTATGCTAAATGAAACAGGGAAAAACTGTTTGTAAATCTTTTCATCTGTGATGCAGGATGTAGGGCAATCAATCCTTGAGAGCTATTCTAGGGTGATGGAGAGCTTAGCCTTCAACATAATGGCTAGAATTGATGATCTCCTATATGTGGATGATGCCACAAAACAACGTGTACGTGCAGCAGCAGAGTCTACATCTCTATATGACCAAGGAAGGCTCAGCAGTGTTCCCACACGAAAGGGAATATCAGCTAGCCCGTTATTAATTCAACAGAGTCCTTCTACCTCTCCATTTCGAAAACTAGGATTAGACTCTCCCAGGCAAATGATTAGAAGCCCTGGTGGAGGGTTGCGCCACTCTCTAAAGAAGAGAAATCCAAGAGATCCACTTGACGAGGCATTAGAAAAGCTAACTTTCTAATTCTGAGTAAAGAACATGACCTGTTAATGCTTCTGAGGTAATTCAGATTACTTAATTCCTTTAGCTGGTTTTGTGAGCCTGTTAAGTAGTAAAGGCTAGTAAGGAGGATGGTGTATATATTCCTTTATTCTGTACTTCGTGTCTAAACGATACCTTAGTATCTTCTATTTCATTTTTTTTTTCTGGGTTAATTGTTAGCTGGTATTGACTGTCTCTAATTACCGATGAATGGTAGTGGCAAATCATTGTTTCAGCTTAGCAGCACTTTCCTGGCAATCTTTGGCTGTAATTAACTGGTAGTTCCGGCCATTGTTATGTGTAACTTTCTCCATGAGACTAGTTATGGGAGGTAACGGGTGAATAGATCGATGTATTCCTTTGAAACTATAAACAGAATGCATAAAATTGATCGTTCAACATTATTCAAGTAGTGTTCAAAGCAACTTCATTTAATTAGGAAATTATAAAACAGTGTATATATAGTTACTGATTGTTCTTAGACCATGACCAACCAGAATGATGCTCTGTCACTATCATAGAATAGCACTTGAATTCGCAGCCTCTTTTTATCTGTTGTCCTTGTTATGATGCGGCCGACTGGACAAAAATACCCACCTTTAATAATACTGACTTGATACTCAATTGGGTTCAAGTTCAACCCAAAACACCTTCAGAAATGGGTAATATGATGGATGACATCCAGCAAAAAGCACATTGCATAGAAATAGATGATTGATTTCGAAAAGTCCTAACAGAATGTGGTTCAATCGAGATAAAGCAAGAGCTTTACTCCAAGGATTTGCTCCTGTTCACGAGGAGTTTCATATTTCAGCTTCATAACTACAGTACTCAACAATTTAAAATCTAAATAACCGTATGATCAAATTAAACGAAAATTTTAGGGTCCGTTGTATATATACTTTAAATACCTTTTTTTTCTTCTTTTTTGAAAATAAGAGATATAATAAATCTTATGAAAACTTGTTTGGTAAAGATGAATATAATTGTTTTAAAAAAGAGTTTCTGAATACAATCCTAAAAATTAATGTAAATTTAGAAAATGATTGAAAATTGTTTTCAGAATTTTTCAGTTTTTAATTTGAAAACAAATTTTAAAATTATATATCAAACCCATTTTTAAATATTTAAAATATTAAGATACAACTTAAAATTTTGAATCTGTGTTTTATTTGCCGAGATATTATCGAGTTGACCTTGATCAAGATAATTAAAACTACGGATGGGCATAATAGCCGCCCCTACGAGGACCCGTCCGGACCTGCCCCAGACGGGACAAAGTTTTCCCAAATTATTCGGGGTTTGGATTGGGCCTGGGCTGAAAATCAGTCCCCGATTGCGGTTTCGAGGACGAGATTGGTCTCTCCCCACCCTGTACAATATATATATATACATATATATTTAATGCTGTGAAACAAAAGTTATATATTATACATTATATATGTTATACTTGTATAATGTATCATTTGATATTTTGATTGATTATAATAAATCAATAAATCATTATAAATTTCATTATTTCAATTTCATTAACTAATTGCCCTTGTTATATTATGGTAGTTATTTATTTAGAATTTATTATAATATATATGTATAATGAATCATATGTAATACATTATGTATAATGTTATGTATTATTTATAATATTACTAAGACATTATAATATCTATGGTATAATTTATTTTGAATTTATTATAATATATTATATATTATACATTATACATAATATATTATAAAACAAAAATTATATATTATATATAATATGCTATCATCCGTAATCATAATATCATATGTTAATATTTGTTATTTAATACAACAATACATAATATTATATCATTGATATATAATATAATTACATATATGTATAATCTATCATAATTATAATTTTGATATTTTTCTTTATTACAATAAATCATTATAATTTTTTTTATCGTTATAAATAAAAAAAAATTATAATGCAAAACCCCAAACGGGGATTGTCCAAATTTCCCATTCAGGCTACGGACTGAGACCGGAGAATCTCCTTGGGCTTTCGGGCCAGGGCCAGGGCCAGAGACAGGTGTCGGGGCCCGTGCCCATCCCTAATTAAAACTGGTAGAACAAGTGAACCCAAAACACCTTCAGTCATTTTTTGAGTCCCGTATAAGAGCCAGAGCCTAGAGTTTAAGCCATGGTTTCCTGTGGGGATTTGTCCACGCATGCATGTGAATTTTAGGATGAAGAAGAAGGCTGTCTTTTTTATAAATGCCTCTTCATATTTAGGCTATGTAGAAGATAAAGCTTAAAAGGAGCCATTACTTATTCATGTCGTGTGTAGCTTCTCATTGTCATTACTTCTCACTTCTTTCATTCTTATTCTTTTCTGGACAGTGCATGGAGATATTCACGAATTGCTTATCTCTTCATTCATCTAATGACTTAGGAAGGGCTTAATTACTATAGTTGGTGAAATTAACCGTGGAAGAGGAGTTGATTTCCCTTAATCAGCTGATAGTCTCCCACTTTCTAGAACTTTCGTAATTCACTTCTTCCACTAATTTCGTCGTTTATTATTATTTATCTGAGGTTCATAAGCCATTGCTAATTTTGCTTTAACGCGCTTCTCTGTTGGAAAAGAGATTAATTTCTTGAAGACAACTTAGAAAGATGTTCTCTAACTAGGTATATGAGCACCATCTCTTACAAATTCTTGAACTATAATAACTCACCTAATCTCAACTTCATTAACTACTGTTTCATTCTCAACTCTGGTAAACCTTTTGCTTCTTCGTCTTAATGAATGAAGAGTGACGTTCCAGACTCGGCCATGCCTTCCTCTGTTATGAAATGAGGATTAACCACAACAACAATGCTAGTGTTATAAAGACAAATTATACAAAAGCAATCCTTATTCTTGATTATTCTTGATTTTCATGGTTTCTTTCTGTTTTTTTTTTTTTCCTTTTTTCGTTTCTGGGTAATGATACATTTTTCTACTTGAAAACAGTGCAGCGGAGAATTAAAAGGCATTCCTTTATTCTTCTGGTTCTAGCTTGAGTCGTACACTTGAGAAAGTTCAAAATGCTGTTGACTATTTGACTCCAACGAAATAATAGCAAGCGCAACTAATCAGGGACCCCAATGGGGCTGGGGCTCAACCCATGATGTACCCAGTGGGGCCGCCTTAATGGCGCCAAACCTAATCTCATCCACTCGCCGTAAGAGTTCGTGAGCTCACGACCCAACAACATGGTGTTTCGTGGAAATTTCTAGAGAATTCGTTGGAGATTAATAACCATGCACTATAAAGTGCGAGTAGGACAAGGTTTGAACATTGTTAATAGCATTGCCAGTTTTCAATCATGAGGCTACGTAGATGAGTTGGGAGTGTGTAGAAACGTATTCAGTACTAGGGCTGCCCTAAACAAAAGGGTTAATTAATTAATTAATTAATTAATAAAACGACTGGCATGGTAGAGATGGTGGCAGTCATGCATGAAGCCATGAAGCCAAAAATCTATTTCCTTTAATTGTGCACAATTTACACAAATATGTAGATTTATTTACAGTAACACGAAATCTGGTTTCAGAGTTCTTCAATGGAGATATCATTTAGGCCTCATGAGTTCTGACAGAAGTTTTCTCTTTTCTTTTTCTTTCTCCCTCTCCGTTAAATGTACTATGAAGTACAGAATAAAGATTAATCTCTCAACCTCACAGATCTTTCGGACTAAAGCCCTAGATATGAGGAAAAAAGGATCGAAACAGAAGACTGATGGAAACCCTAGATCGGAAATTCGAAAGGGAAGAAGAGAAGCTTCCAAGTACTGCTTGGTGGAAAACTTGACAATTGAAAAGTAAAGTGAAAAAACTAGGGTTTCAAATTAGCAATATTATGCGATCCACCGCTTGCCCAAGTAATAAAAAGTTGTTCACCGTGTTGTTTACTTCCTAACCCTGAGAAAAAAGAAAAAAACAAATGAAAAAGACGAAAGTACTGATAAAAGTGATAATTTTTGTTAGCTCTTTTTCTTTTTTCCTCCGGAAAAACAACTAGTAAAGTTGAGGTCATCTAGTAGATAACCAGGAAAGCCAGGAACAGCCACCTGCATGATCATTCATCACAAAGAAAATAAGACAAATTATAAAGGAAGAAAAGATGAAGACAATCATGGGATATGCGTGCTCTTTACCTTGACCTTTATCGAAGAACATCAGAGAAAAGCTGGAGGGAAAAATCACGAGGGTTTTACAAAGAGAAACCAACAGAGCTCAGTTGGCAGTATGCCCACCTCCAAGAGAGAGAATGTTTTTCAATTGATGGGAGGTGGACAGAATGCCAATAAACTCTGTAAGAAGCCCTTTGTTAAACCCGCATGAAACCAAGAACTGTCGTTGTGAAGCACACCATAAACGAACTCACATAAAGAAGAGGCGAGGAAGAGAGTAGATAACAAATAAGGATAGTGGAAAGAGGACAGATGGGTTCTATTTAAGATGTGAAGATGAATAGACAACAGTAAATAAGCGAGTGAGAGAAAGAGAGAGTTGCGATGGGTCATGGGCGTAATTAATTAAAAGAGAGGGAGTGACGGTTTGTTTCAGAGTGGAAAAGACGGACAAATAAAATCGGATAAGATAGAACATATCATTCCTATTGGGAACGGAGGCTGCCTATATATATATTTCAGAAGGAGGATCAAAGAATCATCATAGTTATTCTTCAATATCCCTCGTTTCTGATGAAAACCCACCACCTCTTCTTCAGTCTTTTCTTGCGTTCCTCCCTCGTTTCTCACGAAACACACTCACGCACACCACACTCTCTCTATCTCTCTGCATATGAAGAAAAAGAAAGGGGATTGATTAATCTGGTTAACCAAGGAAACTAATTAAGTTTTGTTTTGGCTTTCAACTTTTTGATGCTACCTTACCTACCGCTGCCATTGTTGTGAGACAGATAGATGACTAGGGGTCAAAGCTATCATCAATTCATTATTCATCTGGATCGTTGAGTTGGTTGGGTGAGTAATGGTATCCGTCTGATTAAAACAGGGAATTAGCTGTAACAACAACCCAATTATAGTTGGTTCACTAACCGTCAATTTTTAGAATAATTGCTTTTCACTCTAGTCAAAAACTCATTTAAGCAGTGACGATAAAATCAATGGGACGGTAACACTTATCTTTTCTATTAGAGGATAAGAGTGGTCTGGTCACCGTCTCTTCTCTCTCTCTGAGTCGATGTGGCTTGCACCTCG